CAGTTACATTAATGCCTGCATAATATTAAGACACGGAATATTGCACTTCCTGTCATGACAGGCCCCTATAAGGGATTTATTATGGCAGTATATTCTCTGTACAAATTTTTCTTGACAATAAGACTGAATGATAAAAGAAAATCGGACTTAAACAAGTGCTGAGACTGGCTGCAAATTTAACATCCTTTCTATTCATTGTGAACTTGAAAGTATTTTGATGTGTTCATTTTAAGATCTGCTTCAGAACTTTCTTATGTGAAGTAAAGGATGGCAGTACAGTCTTCTAGCAGCCAAGGATCAGAGTTTTCTTCTTTTTTTTTTTTAAGTTCAAGAAGCCATAGGTTTTAAGACATTATTTCATTAAAATAATAAAATATATAAACATTTTGTTTTTCTTTTGAACAGTATTGAAGGCTTAAATCTAGTACTTATTCAAGGAATGTTACAAATATTATACTAAGCCTTGGCTTACATATAACACCACAGTGGTATACATGTCTCTGCTCAACTTCTTTCCTTCCTAACAATCACTGACTCATCCTTTTTACTGAGCCCCAAAGTTATAATAAAAATAATCAGAAGAGGATGAGATGCTGGCCCAAACAAAAGAATTGAGAAATTGAAGGTCTGAGCAGGGAATGAAGATAGTGATGAAGCAGTTAAGACAGAGCTGAGCCCTTCTTGAGGAGAAGCCAAATCTGCAGCTACTCAAGAATTTCCCAGCATTTTATGGAACCCAAAGGTTCATTATCATGTTCACAAGAGCCCTATAGTTGTCCCTATACTGAGCCAGATAAATAAAAAACAAAATAATGTAGAAATTCTGGGAAGAGTCAGTCACCTACATTCCTACATGAACAGCACAGAAAACGAAAAATTTGGGATACACAGAAAGCAAGGTTATCTCCTAAAAATAAAACAGCAGAATACTGAGTAAATAAAGCTAACAACCATGGGGCAGATCATAAGTATGCATTAAAAATTTAAAGCTATCCCTGTAACAGGCCATCGATGCCCATGGGCTTGCGAGACGTCAAGGTTCCCACATTTTCTAGAAAGTCAACTCACAGATGATGGTGAAGCTGTCAGCCACACTTTACCCCCAGGAAGTGGCGCTGGGGCAGGTTTTCTCCAAGTACTTCGGTTTCCCCTACCAATCTTCATTCCACCAATTGCTCCACAATCATCCTCGCCCATCATCTGAGGCTGGTACAATAGGCCAGAAGTGGCCGTAGTACAAGGGACTTAGTCCCACCCCACTAGCATTAAAAAAAATTACCCCCAGGGAGATTCCTGGTACTCATTTCTGATAGAGGCTGAGTTGACCCCGGGGCCATAGTGCAGCTGGAAGGATTATGTCAATTGAAAAATCCAATGACCTCATCGGGAATCAAAGCCTTGACCTTGTAGCTTGTAGCTAATGGAAATGGGATTGCAGAGACCAGTATACAAGTCAGATATGGTTAAAACTAGAAATATGAGTACTTCTTTTGGCTTATTTTGGACTTCACCCATCATCCGGTATATAAAAAAGACAAAAATACCACAACGTTTCAGAGACTGGATCTGTCTCCATCTTCAGGTGTATAAGGAAGGTTTAACCTACTCAGTTGGGCCCCTTAGAAAGAGCTAGTCTCAATCACTGGACAAACCTTGATCTGTAGAAACAACCTATGAATAACCGACAACCGGTTCCGTCAGTGGGAGGAAAGAATAAAATCGCAGTAAAAACATGATAGAAAATTTGTGCCAAACATGCACTTGTCAACAATGTAAAGAAACAGAAGTATGGGTTATATTCCATGAATTCAGTTAAAAACGAAAGTAAAAACTGGATAAAGCATGCCTGATCTGCATGGATAAAGAATCGTGCCACCATGNATTTTCTATCATGTTTTTACTGCGATTTTATTCTTTCCTCCCACTGACGGAACCGGTTGTCGGTTATTCATAGGTTGTTTCTACAGATCAAGGTTTGTCCAGTGATTGAGACTAGCTCTTTCTAAGGGGCCCAACTGAGTAGGTTAAACCTTCCTTATACACCTGAAGACGGAGACAGATTCAGTCTCTGAAACGTTGTGGTATTTTTGTCTTTTTTATATACCGGACGATGGGTGAAGTCCAAAATAAGCCAAAAGAAGTACAGTATACACCATCTTCAGAATCCTTTCAAGTCTATCTAGAAATATGAGGTTTGTGTGGCAGTGAGAAATGATGAAGTAGTCTTCAGCATATTATACCAAGCAGTTGCACAGGTAGTCAACTCTTTGGAGGAACCTGCTGCCTTCAGCTCTTACCCTGAAGATAGAGGCAGAAGCCTGCTCCCATCATTGGTAAATACCTACAAGACTACATAGTGTCATTACTCAGAACTTACAAGCTAAATGGTTATTCTACAATATAACATGCAAATTTCTTTAAGAATAAAATAATAATGACATTTTATGGAAAGCAACCCAATACTTTCTGAGATGATAGTGTCTTGCATCTGTAGATGAAATTTGACATACTGGACAGAAGATATCAATTGGAAAATTATACAAGTTAACTGTTGGAGCAGTTATGCTCTACAAGGGAAGGAATGAGTAGAGTCATGAAATTGCATGAAGTAATTTTAGTGCCATCAGCTACATACATAAATGGGAATGGACTACAGAAATAAATGATGAGATAATGAAGACACAAAAATGGAATTTCATTAAGGAGTAGCTGGATATATACTCAGACACTATCAATGTATCACATACACTTACCTGAAATGAAGTATATTTAATTTAAAACTAATGCCGTTTCTGGGAAATAGACATAAAAAATGAAGAGGTTGTCTGATCAATATATGATGGTGCATGACTAGATAGATTGAACTGTCTCCAATGGTGGTGTTCTCATGTGTAGCAGTGCTAACATTCTACTACCATAGATTTTGCTTAAGCAGGAATGAAACCTGACTGTAGTAAGAAAGCCATTTTTCACCACTTTCCTATGTCTATCAATTGTTTATTTAAGGAACCTGTCAGTAGCTCAGACTACAGCACAATTAAATTTTAGGGTAGTTGGTGAATAACGAATTTGGAAGGGCATGATCATGGTTTAACTTAAGTAAATTGGCATCATTTTCCTGGTTGGACAGGATAACCACAGGACAGTTGGTGAATAATGAATTGGGAAGGGCATGACCATGGTTTAACTTAAGTAGATTGGCATCATTTTCCTGGCTGGGCAGGATAACCACAGGACAGTTGGTGAATAACGAATTTGGAAGGGCATGACCATGGTTTAACTTAATCAAATTGGCATCATTTTCCTGGTTGAACAGGATAACCACAGAACAGTTGGTGAATAATGAATTGGGAAGGGTGTGCATGGAAGTGATCATGGTGTAACTGAGGTAAATTAACAGCATTCTCCTTGAAGGGCAGAAGAACCACAAAAATACCTCAGTTGGGATAGTTAGTCACTGTCCAAGTCAAAATTGGAACCAACACCTTCTGAATATAAGTCATTCATGTTACCACTGGGTCAGGTTGCTCAATAGCAATGTTTATCTGAAGGCTGCCTGCAATTGAAAGTTCTATGGTTCAATTCCTTCTGAACACAGTTTTCTTAATTGAGGTTTACCTTAAATACTCAGATATGTTGTGATAAATACTGAAATATGGAAATGGAATATTCACCTGTAAACCAACATGTAGAGAAACAATTGTTAATAGTACTAATATAAAATTTATATTTTTGACTGGTAAGTACACAAGTTTATAGGGATTCCATTTCGATTCTACATTAAAAGAACTGATGTTTTAAATTATAAATATTAGTTTCTAGTGGCACAATTTTGAAATGTACAGAGGGGACAGATATTTACTACAATCATTTGAGACGTTATAGACGAACACAATTATTCATCCTGTGTTCTCAAAATACCAATTTCGAAACAATTGCCATTTCAGTTAAGTTTATACTGAAGACTGGAAGTAATTCATGAAAGGAAATTATGTCACAAGTAGTTGCATACCATTACAATGAAAATATAAAATGATAACAATTAAAGCCTGCTCCATATACCTCCTGATGAAGTATATTACTAACTGTTTTTCTTTCACACCAGTTAACTGTAAGAATTTAACCCTACTTTTACTGCAAGAATTGTGTGAAAACATTACACTTAGTATTATTGCCAATTGGGCCAAAAATTGTTTTCTAATATTTTCAAAGTACTTTCACAAGATCTGGAAGGATTGTAGGTGTCTAAAAAATAAGTAAAATCTCCTAAAGGTATAGCACTCATATTAAAACTGATTAAAAGCATTGACAAGGAGGAAAGGTGTGTGGTAATGTAATACCTGAACATAGATGAGCATGCAAGTCATGTTAAGTGAATGAGCGGGCAGATATTCTACATAGAGAAAATATTAACTAACCTTGTGCAGTTTGGTGTTGAACTAGTGACACAGTGAGAGACCCAAATTAGCTCCTATCCACAATCAGCAAAAGCTCAAGCAAGCCAAGTCCAACCAACATTATCACAACCAATTTCCCTAAACTTCTTACTACCAACAGTAAGCCCTGCATACTGGCATGGTATGTTCACCCTTCACTTTGGTTGATATAACGCCTCTCATTAACATAATGAAATCTAAAAGAGTTTGGAAATGTTAATATCTATGAAATATTTATAATTTATTTGGGTGCAAGGGAGCACATATCTGTAAGTATTAATCCACCCTTGATTCTTCATGGCAATACCCATATTAATTTGTATTTTTTTTTTTTACATTTTTATTAATCACATATTGAATAGACAGTTCCAAATTCAGGTTAGAAGAACATTATTCTACCTGTAATAGTCACTGTAACAAATGAAGTATGAGAGCTGAAGAAAAGTGATGGCATTCTGCACCTTCTAAGTCAATATCATGCAAAGAATATAAATTTTAAAATAAGCTGACAAAAGTTTTAGTACATTTCACTTTTCAGTTATTAACTTTTTTTTTTGTTTCCAGGTATTGGGTGTATCTTTCCATTCTTACCTCTACACATGCGTAAAGTGGGCCTTACAGTAACTGAATCCCAAATTGTCTCTGCAGTTGCTCCCCTAGGTAAGTTTCAATTTCATTATTAGTTATATGAACATTTACATAATATGTAGGCGCCGTTAGAATGCCACACCCTTTTTCTACACATATTATGTATATTTTCAAAACTGTCTTTTCAGTTTCTAGCATAGGTATCTTCCATTGGAACACACCTCAGAAGAAGAAACTGTCATAGAAGCATCTAAATTAAAGGGCAAAGCCTCAAGGAGCTGATGGAATCCCAGATTTTCTTATAAAAATATGTATCTCAAGTATAAAAAAACTACTCAGTTTTATATTTAATGAATCAATAAATCAAGGCGTTTTCCTTGATTTATTGAAAATTGCAAAGATCAAGCCAGTTTATAAAAGAGGAAACAAACATGAAGCGAGTAACTATAGACCTATATCGGTGCTATCGGTATTCTAAAAAATCTTGGAAAAAATAGTATACAATAGACTGGTGTCCTTTACAGCTAAATTTAAAATATTAACTGAAAAACAATATGGATTTCAAAAGATAAATCAACAATATTAGCGTGTCAGTCATGTATCAGGAAGATACAAGAAGCTTTGGATAAGAAATTACTACCAGTGGGTATTTTCTTTGATTTAACAAAGGCTTATGATGTTATTAACCATGATATTTTGCTAGAAAAATTAGAGCATTATGGGATAAAAGGGCAAACGAATGCCTGGCTAAAATCATATCTAACACTGAGGGCACAATATGTGGAATTAATTTCTAAGGGCAGCAGGGACTGTATGACTCATTTTAATTCAAAAATAAGGAATGTAAAGGTAGGGATTCCACAAGGGTCAACCTTGGGCCCGTTTTTGTTTTTGATTTGCATAAATGAACTACCCCTCCATATAACTAACGGGGAAGTGGTGCTATTTGCAGATGATACCAGTATACTGGTAATAGAAAAGAACAAAAATATTCTTCAAGACAAAATAGATAAGGTAATGAAGCAACTCGAATCTTGGTTTTCAATGAATAATATGGTAATAAATAATGAGAAGACTATAGCAATGTATTTCCATATGAATAAACTACAAGATTGCATTGAGCCAGTAATTACCTTTAAAAATATAATAATTAATTATACAGCACAGTTTAGGTTTCTTGGTATTAATTTAACCCACAAATTAAAATGGAACATTCATATTCAGTTGGTCTGTACAAAGCTCAGTAAGGTGTGTTACGTTATTAAAGCTTTGAAAGGCGAAGTAAGCCCATATGTCCTTAGGAATGTGTACTTTGCTAAATTGCAATCTCAAATAAGTTATGGTTTGATATTTGGGGGGGGGGGAGAAAGTGAAAGTAATAAAATTCTGATTTTGCAAAAAGGGTTCTTCAAATAATGAAAGAGATAACAAAAAGAACATCATGTAGACCTATATTTAGATAATTAAAGATTTTAATGGTACCATCTTTGTGTATTTTAAAGGTGTTATGTTATTTCAAGAAATATAACATTTAGACCACAAAAAACTCTGACATACATAAGTATGACACGAGACAGAAAGAAGACCTTCACGTGCAAAGTTATCATACCTTAACATATGAGAATGGTGTTACAAATATGGCTATTAAGCTTTATAATAGACTGCCTTTGGAACTAAGAATGGTAAAAGCAGATAGAGAATTCCTACATAGACTCAAAAGATATTTACTGGAACACCCATTGTATAATTTGCATGAGTTCCTTTCAGAAGGACAGTTAAACAAATAAGATTCTCCTTGATAAATAGATTTAAGTGTAAATAAAATGACTGGTAATTAGATGAAGTTTTTAATATGATTCAGCCTATAAAGGGAATGGAAGTCTTAAAAGAGATTGCACTCCAAATTAATTAATCGTTATCTAAATTGAATTTTATCTTTTGTGGATTATTTTGATATAATAGGTTTTAAGTTTAAGAATATGACGGTGGTAATTAAGATATATATAGTAAGATGACCTTGTTTTTTATAATGGAAGGTAGTCTTAATTTGATTGTACCTAATATATTTTAATTATACCGAGAGTGTGATTTTAATTGTAACTGAATGTTATGTTATGTGATATATGATGACGTTCAATCGATTGGGCAGGAGGCCAATTAGACCGGAAAAGTTGTATATGTATGTGACTTGTTTGAGAGTTACAGTTTGTAACTGTGATGAATGTTAAATAAAATTATTATTATTTCTGCAAACAAATACAATAGCATTCATCTTCCCATTTTCTTAATTTCTATATGTTGCACAATTTCAATCCACACTAATTTTTGGCAAATGATATTGGCTCTGTTAACTGAATTTGTAGGCTTCATTTTGAACTGAAACAATGTAAATGAAGATAATTTATTGCCAGAAACAGTGAATATAGCATCACCATTTGTTTCAGTAAAAAATCCAAGGCCTTAATTATTTTTGTATTTGTATTTATTGTAAGTTTAAGAGATCCAAAGATGGATATAGAACATATCATAAAGTAATATAGAGCATGGAACACATCCATAAATATTACATAACTAGACAGTACAATGAATACACCAATAATACAAATTATCTATTTAGATATTTATCCACAGTATAAAATGTATGAGTTTTCAAGAAATGCCTTAGTACAACCTTAAACTTTTTAAAATTATTAGATGTGTCCTTGATGTCTATGGACAATTTATTGAATATTTTTATACCCGCATAATAAACTCCTTTTTGATAAATAGTTAAATTAGCTTGAGGTATATACAAATCTTGTGTTTGTCTAGTATCAATAGTATGAGAATATACAAAGGGTTAGAGTCTGTACTGATTTCAGTATTAACATCATATCATTTTGTACTTATATTTAGATGTGACTTCATGTTATAATTATTCATAATATGAATTCTGGGGTTTTGGGCCATCACACAACAAACGTGGGTTTGATTAGTGTGTAATAAGTGATTGAATCAAACACAATACTAATACTGTAATAACAGTATTTGATTCAATTGCTTATCATATGTTAATCAAACCCATGTTTGTTGTGTGATGGTACAAAACCTTAGAATTTGCATACACAGCAGAAACCATAACATAAAAATCATAATATCAATATTTGCCCTAGATTTGTGTCTTGCACTAAACTGGCTTTAAACTAGGAGGTTCCTATTTTGAAGCTCAGCAACTACCTATTCCAACTGAGAGTTTATGGAGTGAGAAACAGTTTATGAAGTCAAGTCTTACATACTGGTACTGCAAATCATGTGGAAATCTCTTTTGAGTTTAGAAGTGACTGGAGTAAAAATTATGACCTCTAAAAATGTTCTATACATAGAGCCCGTTCATTATTACCTGTTCATTCCTGAGTCAGCTCTGTAATAAAAGTTCATTGTTCAACATCCCCAGAGGAACCTAACATCATCATTTGACTAAAAACACATATAAGCACACTCACACTAATTTTAATAACATTAAGACATCATGAACTATGGTGTAATGTGAAATTTATGATTTGTGGTTTTCCATTCTCTATAGTGGCTCTTCTCGGTCCATGGTTGGCATGCCCATTAGCAGATCGACTGAGTGGACTTCGGGCCAGCAATGGACGTGGTATACGAGTGATGTTGGTGCTTATCATGCTGTTGGCAGCAGTGTTCTATGCCCTCCTCTTGTGCATCCCAACTGTTACCCGGTTTGACTCAGATCATAAGCCTACTGTGTCTTTCATATGTGGTCCAGAGAGGGCACTACTTCACCATGAGAGGTGTAATGACCCTGCCTGTCATTCATGGGACACAGATGAGGTTGGTTATCTCACTGTATCATCATGAGAAACCAATTCCCTTGCTTCCAGGCTCAATAATGTGGCAAGTGTAAACTGTGATGTTGTGCATCGTGAGGGACAAATATAAATCTTGAAAAGTTGAATAATACTCATTAACCCTTTGAAGCATAAATTTATCTAAATTTAATATACCAAAGTGTACTCACTGCTTGGTTTATTTAACGAGTGTCAGTAGTTCAGACTGTATAGTATGTTACTGTTCTTCTGCTATAGGTAGGGGAACTGAACCTTGTGAACTGCCAGTATGACTGTGAATCTGAGCATGCAGAAATAGGAAAACTTGACATGCTGGAGATGCATAGTATGAGTACAACAACTGAAGAAACCCTAGATCTGGATGCAGATATGGAAGGCAGTGGTGACACTAATGAACCTTCATTAGAAGTCTCTCCTGACGACCTGGATGATGTAAATATCATGAGAATTTTACACCTTAATGACAGAGCTATATGCTCTTTTGTTTTGATATTAATTTTAAGCAGAGAAATTGCCAGGTAGTTGTGAAAGAAACTGTGATTTTTATTGCGGTATTTGGATTAAGTCATGATTTCTCAGACTTTGTGGCACCATCACTCTCTAAAATAATACATGAAAGCACCTGTATTAAATCTTACTGGCTTGAAGAAAATCTGTATGGATACATCTGTATTTTAAATAATTCTTCAAAACCTGGTGCCCCCTATAGAGTGGGTCATGACCCACAGTTTCAGAAACCTTCGATTAACATCTTATGAGTATTATAATAGGTCAGAATTATAATAAATTTTTTTTTATTAAAATCTTTGAAATAATATTTTAAAATATGTTTACAACTCCAGTACATAACATATCTTGTAGCTTAAATAATGGACAAGAGCAGACGGATGACAAACTCCTGTACAAAACAAGGTGCCAACATGTAGAATTGATCAGCTCAATATTTCATATATTTATGTACAGATGCATAAGAATGAAGTAACTACAGATATCGTCATCACAGAGAGTCATTAATGTAAATTTATTTCTCTTTTCCACACCTGGAAATTGGAAGGTAGGGTTTGTGAATTCTACCTTTAACTCCCTCTGTATAATTGCCACTCTTTTCTTTTTACAAGGATCAGTTCCTGGAAGACGGTGATGATGTACGTGAACGACGTCAAGTAAACGATTCCATATTTCCAGAGCCACCTCATCTTTGCTATACAGATTCAGATGGTGCAACCAATTGCAAAGTATACACAAGATACAGTAAAAGAGTTTCTGTTAACATAAGTCTGTATAGTCAAGAATTAAATCCAAAAGGACAATACTGTCACTATGATATAATTGGCGGAAGCAGCAAGAATTTCTCCTGCCGCATCCCAGCAAATCTTCCAGGCAGGATGGATAATAAAACTTGCATAGTACGCTGTGATGTTGACCAAGAGGGTGATGGCAATCTCTTAGCAGGTAGCCCATGTCAAAGGATCAGAGGCAACCCAACTGTCACATTCTGGACATATCTGGTTGTGAGTATATGTCAAAATTAAAAGATTCTGTATCAAATGTTGAAATTCATATTGCAGTCTTTTGTTTGTGGCACCATGTAGTCTTGTAGGCAGGTAAAAACATTCCAGTGTGGAACAGCTTTGGATAGAAGAGGAAGAAATCAGCAGGTTCATCCAAAATATTTTTATCCTTCTATCAGATTACATGACTTCACATCCCAGCAGAAAGTGACCTCTAATTAATGAACTTCTTTATTATTTTGATGGTATCCTGTATTGCGGTAATGAGATGTGAACGTATACTTAGTTTCCTCTGCAGTCAGTTCTAGAGTGATGTCCTTACTAGCATCTAATAGAGCTTTTTAATTTTTCTTCATTATATTTATGTTTCCAACCTGTAAATTAACATCATGAGCCCAAAGAATCTGCCAATATGACCCATACAATATAAACCATGGAACCATTATTTATTAATAGTGTGAAACTATGTGATAAATTAAATATTCAATTAGCCTTCAAGCATGATGTTTTACCTTTTATCTGAATATGTGTGAGCCTGATGTACATGAGATAACTCTTCAGAGTATCTGTTGTTCTTCGCAGGTGCGATCAATAGCAGATATATTTCCTACTGCTGCCCTGGCTCTACTGGCGGCCATCACTGTGGTGGCAACACATGAGACTAGCATTGGAAGTGGTGATGTGGGTCGACAGTTGGCATGGGGGTGGGTAGGGCTAGCCCTCAGTGGTGTCATCATGGGATTTCTCACAGTGCTGGAACTTGGACAGCCATATTACTGGTTGCAGTTTGTTAGCTGTGCCATACTGATGATCTGTGCATCAGTAGTGGTTATCTTTGCCAAGTCTTTGCCACTTGGACAGCCAGAATGGTGGTGGCATGCCCGAGGATCGGTAATCCTGGGAGTTCGTCGGTACAGCTGGGAACTTGCTGCACTTACACTTATACTTATTTTACTGGGGATATTCTGGAGCGCCCTTGATTCATACTTGCCATGGTAAGTCCTATTTTTGATGACTGTTATCTTATTAAATGCAAGCATGTTTTAACCACACAATCATTATCATGTAGTTACTATAGGATTCTGACAATGGTGTATAACACACTGATATATTGGGTTTCTGGACTTTATCCATCGTCCTGGTTTTTAAGGAAATTAATAAAAACACGACGTTTCGGAAACTGGATCTGTTTCTGTCCTCAGGTGAAGGAAAACACCTATTCTGTTGGGTCCGTTAGAAAGAGCTAGCCTCAATCACTGGACCAGTGATTGAGGCTAGCTCTGGACATTATCCATCGTCCTGTTCTTTTATCTAAAACACAATTGATTGGGCCCAACTGAGTAGGTTTTGCCTGAAGATGGAGACAGAATCAAGTCTCCAAAACGTGTTTTTAAATAAAAACATGATGGTGCCTTAGATAAGTAACAGGATAATGACCAGAAACATAATATCACAAACTTTTAGACCTTATCATCATCATGACTTGCATCCATTTACCATAAATATAAATATTATTTTTAGTATGTTTAAATAAGTGACTGTTATTTAGCAAATTTTGCACAAAATTAAAAGTACAGATTTTGACAGAGAAACATTGCAGCTGTGTTAGAATGATGTGAAATATGAAAACTAGCTCTTATTGAAACATTCTGCTGCTGTACCTATCAAAGCAGAATATTCTAATGAACATGAAGAACATGTCCCGTCAATAAAATTAATACTAGTAGTTAATAAATACAAAATGTTATACTTTACGACTGCCATCTTCTAGAATTGGATGCCATGTAGTCTGGTATACAATTGCCAACATTTCAATGGAGCATACTGCCTCCATCTTCAAGGCTCAAACCTGTTCCCTACTCAGTTAGGTCCAGCTAAGCTAATCTCACCCACTACACAGCCTACATCCAAGAGCTGATGTAAGTTTCAATGACTGGACACAACTGACCACGCACCTCCCCAAATTTCCATCTCAGGATAGAAACAAATCTAGTTTCTGAAATGTTCTGTTAGTTTAGAATACTGAGGTGGAGGACAAAGTCCTGAAACAAAGTAACATTAAGTGTAACATATCATCATGAGATCCCTGTAGAAGTGACTGTGTTGCTGTAGGCACCTGAACGAACTGATGGGTTCCGAACTGCTTCTCTGCCTCACGCTGACTGCAGGAGCTCTACCTGCTGTACCTGTTATGTGGTTCTCAGAGCAAGTGGTGAATTACTGTGGTCACTCCAACCTCCTCATCATTGCGTTCATCTTCTACATTGTTCGTTACACAGGTACACCCAATTTCTGCTGAATTTGTTCACATTATTATGATGCAGTTATATGTAAGATTTGAATTTTACATGGCAGCTGAAGTAGACAAGAACTTCTTGTGCTATCAGCCATGACAGTAGGGTCTGATGTCTGCTGTCAGACTCACGATGGGGACAGAGATGGTACCTGAAACATTAGTGTTTTTAACCAACAGTTGACAGCCATAGAACATTTTTATTCAATGTATTCCTGTCCTGATGATGATTGAAAGGCCAAAACACGTGGTAGATCAATAGCATGTAGTATATCTATACAGAAGTTGTGCAGTCAGAAATAAATACAATTCAAAATATAATACAACTTTGCACTGTGATACTATATTAATGTATATTTAATATTTTACTTTTAAGTTTTATTATTTAATTTCCATTCCTTAAGCTTCAAAAGCTAAAAATTATTAAATATATTTACATACATACACAAATATGTATCTTTAGTCCTCAGCAAGAAATTATGGGTCCAATGGGGTGCTATTCTGGTGCTTGTGTGGAGAAACTGAGGACAACTTAAAAAGGAAACCTGTTGGGATAGCATTCCTGGGCAAGATTCAAATGAAGCACCTCCTGCATACAAGTCTAGAGTGTTATCACTATGCCATCTCTCTCAGAGCTGTCTGCTTCGTTACAGCACTATATGCCCTCTGGAGTCCATGGTGGTTACTACTTTGCTGTGAAGCTCTGGAATTTCTGACTCTGAGCTTAGCATGGTTAGCTGCAATCCTATACCTACGTCACCTTGTTCCACGCCATCTCACAGCCACAGGGCAAGGATTGGCTGTAGCCGCGCACTTCTGCATTGGACGTTCTATTGGTTCCATCATTGCCGGAGCTCTGTCTTCTGGTGAGAGTGGTGAGTACATCTACAATCTCATTAGTTTTTCCTTGACAATGTCTAACAATTTTTTCTCAACAAGACTGAACACAAACTGGAGATAAAAGTATAGTTAGATTAGTGTTGTTGTGTGTCTATGATGTCAGTTGCTGTAATGTAGATAAATATGAATTTAAAAAGAACATTTTTTTGAAATGTAACATCTGTATATGGAATGATTATAAGACATGCAATAATTTACCATGTACAGACAGCTTGCTTAAAACTGCATAATGAGGAGCTTCATAACTTGTACTCTTCTCCAAGTATAATTAGAATGATCAAGTCAAGGAGGATGAGGTGGGCTGGTCATGTAGCACAAATGGGAGAGATGAGGAATGCGTGTAGGATATTGTGGGAAAGCCAGAAGGAAAGAGACCACAGGGAAGACCAAGGCGTAGGTGGGTGGACAATATTAGAATGGATCTTAGAGAGACAGGATGGGATGGTATGGATTGGACAGATCTGGCTCGGGATAGGGACCAGTAGAGGGTTCTTGTGAACACTGCAATGAACCTTCGGGTTCCATAAAATGCTGGGAAATTCTTGAGTAGCTGCAGAATTGGCAGCTCCTCCAGAAGGGCTCAGCTCCATGAGTAAGTAAGTAAGAGACAGCTCGCTTAGAGAAGATGCTGAAATTGATTTCCCTCTGCCTGGAGAGACAGGCTGATGTGACACTGCATGTTTACAAATGCTTCATGTAATATGGCATGCATTAGTTCAGTTGGTAATATTTCTTTCCAGGCAGGCACCAGCTCAGTGTTGCCAAGTTCTATTTTCATTGGTAAATTTCTGTGTCATATATAATTATTAATTAAGGACCCTCCTCTGAGTGAATCAGCCTGTATAATACAAGTAGCAGATTTGACTTCCATGGAAGTTCTTTAACATTATATTTCATTTATTTCAAGTGTACCTTTTCATTGGCTGTTGTAATAATATTCACTACAAATGACAATACTTAAAACAGAGAATATTTAGGAAGCATCTTATGAGAAAACAGTTCTGGAATATGTTGAGTTATGTCAGCAAAAACAGCATTAATATGAAGGTAGGGTAATATTCATATTTAAGGTAACTGAATCTGACATAAGGAACATTCCGTCTTTCTCAATCAGGTGCCGGCTCCCTCATATACTTGTACCAAGCTGGTGCAGTGGCCGCTGCTGTGGTAGCAACAATTTACTTTATAGGATATCACTGTTGTTTCAAACCTCGTTGCCTTGCTCCTAAAAGTACAAGGGGTTCGCCATCTCAGCCGGGAGTACCATCTGGACCAACAACTAATGGGACATACACACCTCTACGAGTGTACCATAATGCAGGAGCTGATGGCCAGAAGATTCAACACAGATATTAAGATTCTGCAATAGAACATCAAACTATAAACATGCTGGTATTAATATTGAGTTATGGAGAGTCCTGTTTGGCACAGTTCTGCACAGATACAAGTGGAGCCACATTTCACTTACTCCATATAGCAAAATTATTAACATACCGATTCTAAATTGTATTAATTTGTATCCAAATTTATTTTATTAGCCGGGATAGCCCAATCTGTATAGAGACTAGGCTATAGGTTGGACAACTGAGGTACTGGGTTTCAGTTTCTGATAGTTGAAAATGATTTCTCCCTTATCAATAGCTTCCAAACTGGATCTGAGGCTTACCCAGTTTCTTATCCAATGGGTACTGAGGGTTCTTTCCTCAGGGATGATGTGGCTGGGGCATGAAGCTGGCCACTCATCTTCTTCTAGTGCCAAGGTTAAAAATGTGTGGAATTGTGCTTCTATTCCCCATACATCTCTATATCATCGTATTTAATTAAGTACAAGGACAAATTTACCTTTTATCTTGATTTAAGGTTTTACATTTTTAAATTTAAATTTTGAAAATACCAACCCTTGATATTAAACTATTAAAGAGCTGTATTAAAGGGCTGTATTTTTCAATTTGTGGTTACCTGAACCAAGCTTTTTTTGTATATTGTTAAAATGGATAATGGAAGTTACATTTATATTTCCTGAGTATTGTGACGCCAATTCAGGCAGCAAGAAAGCATGACCAGTTTTGATCATACAGATACAAAAGCAGCAAATAATAAAATATGGAAATATGACCAATAAGTATAGAAAAAGAACAACCAATTTTATCTTAGGTAAGCATTGAGACAATTAATATTGTGCTGGTGTTTGATCTATGAAATTGTGTGAGTGTATAAATATATTATTTGTGTTGATGATAAACATAGATAAAGTTATGTTTTGTGTGTTGGTGATTATCACAGAACTACTACTTATATGTTTGTGGATTATCAGAACTAAAGATAGTTTCGCATGTTGGTGACAAAAACAGAACTACTACATACGTCCATAAAGTGGAAGATGATTATATTTAATTTCTGTGATGAAGTATAGTCACAAATAATAACAATTTTGTACTTGTGGTAGAGTTAACTTTCATTAACTATGTAGATTATTGTTATGGTGACAGCAAATGATAATAACTGATTTTATTATTCATATGAATCAAAATTATGTGTCATGACAAGAATGGTGAATTTATGCAGAATGTGGCAGCTATACTAAAACCATGGAAGGAAGTCCTATAGACCAGTTCCCTCTACATCTTCCTTCAGCTGTTACAGTTCCTTCTCCAACATACTCCCTAATATTCTTCTCCATTCATCTTTCCATTCTGTTCTCATGAATGTTGATGGTAGGCTGATATATACCCCAGAAGGCTGGAGAAAAACTGAACAGAAGGTAGGGAATGGAAAGGCTTGAGCATTGTCATCTGTGACATTCATGGGACTTCTTATGGTGGACTTCTTAAATAAGAATTCAAGATTTGATTCATCTTACATACAAAATCCTTCCATCGTATGGCCTCCATTCCTGGTTTGGTTGATAGGCAACCACAACCAGTTCTTACAGAGCAAGTCAATCTATATTCACTGTCATTTAGTCACTTGGCAACCACATACCATTTGTCAAAGGGACTTGTTAGGACTATCACAATAAGTAATAAATTCCATTATTTCAGTGCAGTTTGTTTTAACAAATCCCAGGGTGAAATACGTAAAAAAAGGATGAGAACTGAATGTCACAGTAAAATGGGTAACATCACTGCTTTGTATACAGGAAGTTTAAGGTTCAAATCTTGACCCACAAACCAGCTACACTGACTGTAGTTTTTGCGGCTTTCCTCAGTCCCTCCTGGCAAATGCCTAGATAAATCTCAAATTGGCCATGATCACTTCCTTCCACATCTCCAATTTGTTATTTGCTAATTGTCCTACCATGTGAAGCTATATAGTTTAGCATCATTACATAAGCCAGAAGTAAATAATGTGGGTTGAATACATTCTGCTGTCACCAACTCATGCAGTGAGCTGGCTGTCTAAGCTGCACCAGTACACTGCAGAACACATTCATTCCGCTATGTATAAAGCCATACATTTATCTGATTGTCGTATTTATTTCTATACAATTTAATTTTTATGTCATAATATTAAAACAATAGGTGAAACAAAGACTGCATCAGTGTTTCATGTATTTTTAAAACTTTTGAGAGTAAAAAAATCCACTATCCAACAGTGCTCAGTCCTTGTGTAACATGATGGATGCATTCTTTAAAAACTTTCATGTAGAGTAAATTTGTGTTAGTCAGACAAAAATTTCCCATAAGAAATAATGTAATGGGATGTAATGTGAGAGAGAATTTGTGTTTAACCAAGAAACCCTACTTTACAAACTGTGATAAACCGAATTTGTGTTAATCAGGGACTGGGTGTATTGTCATAGCTGTAAGAACATTAATGCTGTGCAATGAATGAATTAATGACCACATACAATATTGTTTTGTTTAGAGCAAACTTGAAAACACTTGGTAAGGAGCAGTTAAGGCCGCACCATAGCTCAAGCGGTTAGTCGCTGGCTTCCCACCGTGGCGGCCCAGGTTCAATCCCGGGTCTGGTCAAGAGGGATTTGTGGTGGACAAAGTGACACTGGGGCAGATTTTCTCCAACTACTTCGGTTTCCCCTGCCAATCTTCATTCCACCAACTGCTCCACAATCACCCTCACCTATCATCTGGGGCTGCTACAATAGGCCAGAACTGGCCACAGTACAAGGGACTTAGTCCCACCCCACTAGCAATAACAATAGAAAAAAAAAGCAGTTATAAGAGGAAAAAATATTTTTAATATGTTATTTTACTCTCTTGACAGTAAATTTTCCTACATTAACTATCAATAAGTTGCACAACCCAAAATCTAGTCGATACAAGGCACTGAGCCTAAATTGTATTTTTTTAAAGAGCATCTATTTCAATGAACCAATCATGCGTTTTTTTATAAAGTGAAAGAGAACATCTTATATGCAAGTCCTGTCTTCCTGTCTGTGACCAGAACCAGTGCCTACTGCTGGACAGATATTTTTTTAAATACTCAATATGGGAGACTTTCACTGAAAGTTGTTAAGCAATTCTGATTTTCTGCCATATTCACCCATAATAAAGCCAAATTTACAACAGTAAATGGATAAGCATAGTGTAAGCATGATTGATTTTTTTTCCAGACATTATATGAACATTTAGTTCGTACCTCACAGGAAGCACATTAATTCCCTGCTACAAAGCCCAACCGGTTAATGCTGTTTAAGGGAACGGTCGCTGTTTATTGTGAGAACCATACGGAACACACAGATACACTGTGTGGACAGAATGCAGAGTTTTAGTATGTTCAGTCTGTACCTCACAGGAAATATTACATCTCTGCTACAGAGCACAACCGGTTAATGCTGTTTAGGGAAACAGTCGCTGTTTATTGTGAGAACCATATAGAACACACAGATACACTGTGTGGGCAGAATGCAGAGTTTTAGTATGTTCAGTCCCTACCTCACAGGAAACATTACGTCTCCGCTACAGAGCCCAACCGATTAATGCTGTTTAGGGAAACAGTCACTGTTTATTGTGAGAACCATATGGAACACACAGATACACTGTGTGGGCAGAATGCAGAGTTTTAGTATGTTCAGTCTGTACCTCACAGGAAACATTACATCCCCGCTACAGAGCACAACCGGTTAATGCTGTTTAGGGAAACAGTTGCTGTTTATTGTGAGAACCATACAGAACACACAGATACACTGTGTGGGCAGAATGCAGAGTTTTAGTATGTTCAGTCTGTACCTCACAGGAAATATTACATCTCTGCTACAGAGCACAACCGGTTAATGCTGTTTAGGGAAACAGTCGCTGTGTATTGTGAGAACCATACAGAACACACAGATACACTGTGTGGGCAGAATGCAGAGTTTTAGTATGTTCAGTCTGTACCTCACAGGAAATATTACATCTCTGCTACAGAGCACAACCGGTTAATGCTGTTTAGGGAAACAGTTGCTGTTTATTGTGAGAACCATATGGAACACACAGATACACTGTGCGGGCAGAATGCAGAGTTTTAGTATGTTCAGTCAGTAACTCACAGGAAACATTACATCTCCACTATAAAGCCCAACCGGTTAATGCTGTTTAGGGAAACAGTCGCTGTTTATTGTGAGAACCATATAGAACACACAGATACACTGTGTGGGCAGAATGTGGAGTTTTAGTATGTTAAAACAGGTGGTGCATATAGTAATCACTTGAATTTAAAGGGTTAATAAACTGGAAAGAAAGCTTTTCAGAATACTGTGTACAGTAAACCTTCCATATTCATGACTGGTATGTTCCTGTAAATACATGAACACAAAATTAGTTAATGTTGAGACTATAATTTGATAGAAACATTTGGGTTACGTTTATGGCATGACAAAACATACGGATTTAAATTGTAGAATATAAGAACACAAACAAAAATAAAAAAATAATGATATAGTGTATATTATATTTATGTATTAGCAATAATAATATGAATCCTCCAAAAAGGGTGATTCAAGAGGATTTGGGCCAGTCAAGACTGGGTTTCTTGGGCTGAAAAGAACGTGGTTGAGAGTCATGTGTTTTGCTGAAGTTCTTTCAGATTTCAAGGTACGGCCATGATGCAGCACAATATTAACCTTAAATTCAAGGCTTCTCTCTATTACAGGATCATATTCCACTGTTTTGTATGCCAATGCCTGCTGCAGGTTCAATATTTTAGACAGAGCTAAAGCACCAATGCAATGTGCAGCAAACTCACATACATGCAAGACCAAGGGGGCACGACTGTAGAGTAGGCATACATTAACTATATCACAAATTTTGCAAATGCGGAGTGTTTACTGTACTACACTATGGAGTAACATCTTTTCCACTCTTATTAATTGATGCTTAGACAAAATAAGAAATTCTTGTAATTTTTAAACAAGGGCATTTATCTACATAGCTTTAAGATTTAAGGTACTATGTGTAGAACAAAAATATCTTAAGAAAGGCACCTGTCCTAAACTGAGAATGCATTTTCCCTTAGAAAATTTGATCTATGTCCTTGTTAACAGCCTCTAATTAATGTAACACAGAAGCAATCTTAATAGAATATAGATCACTCAAGTGACAGTATGAATTACCAATAACTGATTCATTGTAATCTTATGAATAGTGAAGAACTGTCAATTTTAAAGTTTTCTGACAATGGTGTGTTATACTAGGGATTACAAAACTGGATCTGTTTCCATTCCATCCTCAGGTGGCAAGACACTACTCAGTGAGGTCTATTTTAGCTCTTTCTAATGGACACATCTGAGTATGTGCCTTTCCATTCTTTCACCTCACGATAGAAACATTCAGTTTCCAAAATGTCGTTTTCTTTCAGGATACTATATGACAAACAAAGTCCAAAAATTCAATAATCTGCAGTGAAAAATGGATTTGTATAACATTCTAAGATGCAGCTATAAATACATTTTTATAAATTGTTTGATATAGTTAGAACTCCTTATCCTGATCAGTCAGCTGGGTAAACTGCTGTTTGCCCTCACCAGCAGCCATTCTTGGTTCTGAGTCCCACAGGAGTCATGGTCATATTTTATTTTCCCATGACTCTGGGAGTCATGCAACGCTCTAATCCCTGATCCCAAATGTACAAAAACCTGCATTTATAGTTTATTCAGGGGTTTCCAATTCTTATTATCTGTCTCTGATAGTCAATATAAGAAAAATAGGAAGTGGGGCTCTTCTTCTGCATCCCTACTGGGCTGTACACTATTCTTCCAATCCTTATAATAGCTCTAGGTTATGTTTAAACTCTGGTGATTAGTCAATGGCATCTCACCATGGAGACACGGATTCAATCCAGGGATGTTCATGTGAGCTCTGTGGTGCATAAAGTGGCAATGGGGCAGGTTCTTCTCTGAACACTTCAGTTTTAACCTGTAAAATGCTCCAACCTCATCTATCATCAATGGCTTGCACAGTAGACCCATTTAGGGCCACAATACCAAGGGACTGTCTCACCCCACTTCTATAACAATAATAATAAAAAGCAGTTCTATTCAAAACAAATTATGCATAAAATAAAACTGAAACAAATGAAGCAAGAACATTTACAAGGAAAACTTTTGACTACTGCTTCCCACTGAAGAAGTGAATTGAAATCTCTTCCATGTGTATTAAGAAAGTTTGATTTTTGGTGATTTATTTATAAATACTTTACACATATCTCCTATAATATTTTCTAAGATTTTCTTTACTTTTTATTTAGTGTTACTATAGCAGTTAAGTCCATGCTTTCATATAACATACAGTCTACAAAATTATATAAATACTATTACCTTTGTAAATTCTGTAGACATGAGAGGGAAGTAAACATTTGTGTGAATTCATAGGGGTATCTTTATTTTATACAATTTCTATCCATGTACTGAGGCCACAGACAGACATCCCATGGACAAACCCTTCAATATCTCCCTCAAGCCCATTATACTTCCCCCTCCAGTGTACCCCTTGCATTCCTCTTCTGTCAGCTCACCACTATGTGGACAGGAATGTTGGTAGTGACAACCTCTGCTACCATCTAGTGCAGTGGGCTGCTAACAGAGGCCAGAGGGGCTGGAAGTGAACACAACAGTATATACGAAATGGAGCAACCTTGAACAGGTCACCTACGCACCCATGGGACTATGGCCCTGTATAGAATTTCTATTGAAACTGCTGGCATATGAATGACATAGTTTGCTACAAGGAAATGCAGAATAAGAGACAATTCCTTCTTTTCTTTTATATATATAGTAGTATATCATGTCTACAGTCCCACAGCAATTTAAAAGATCCTTGGTTACTCATGTATGGGCCCCCTGTGCAGATTTATCCATCATCCTGCTCCAACGCCCTCAGTTTATGTTCTTTCCTTAACATTAGAAAAAAGGTTTCACATCCATATAAAACAACAGGTAAAATTACAGTTTTTCAGCATTTCGATTTGAGATTCTCACAAAAGTGACTATGATGAGACTGGTCATCTGACATGTGATGGCATGTAATCTGGTACTTACATTACAGAGAAACCTGCAGACCCTTGTCTTTCAATAGAAGAATGAAGACGGAGGGAACATGTTAGAAAGTACGCTGG